TGGACTGATTCATTTATTAGTTGTTACAAAAACATGCACAAGACGGCAGGTATACAAACAAACACGAAACAATTATACAAACAAACATGAACCCGCAACAAATATCAGGTGACAGCTAAACTCATCCAGTTTAATTTTAATCCGAATTAGGGAAACTTCAGCGGGGGTAGGGAAAATATCAGTACTTATTTTTACTTATTGTTTTTTTATTTTTATTTTTATTTTATTTTATTTTTTTAAACAAAATCCAATTCAATAATCCGTAAGTTTATTAAACACAGTGTGAATGTAATATTCTGCCACCACCCTTCCCATTTAATAGCTCAATTTAGTTCTTGAGCTTATGGTGTGATTAACAGAAAATACAAGTCTGTGTTGTTAAACATTAATTCAGTTGATGAGCAATAAACTACCTTATTCTCAATCAAAACCACTATGCAAATGTAGTGGTAAAACTGCTCAACCGACCGAGAGCAGAGATATTAATTAATTTAATTAATTCTAAGAACGGAATCTGCTGAAGAGTAATAACCACATTATTCTCAATCACCAACCACTATGCTAATTTAGTGGTGCTCTGCCCTCCCCGATCCGGAGAGCAGAGACTTTTAATGAATTCAGTACCCTTTATTTTAACAACAGCCAAATTCAACAACCCCTCAGTTTATGAAACACAGCGTGACGTAATATTTCGTATCACGTTTCCCGTTAATAAGAGTTCTGTTTAGTTCCAAAACTCATAATGGTGCGATTTAAAAATAATACGACACTGTGCTCTGTTTCGTGTGCTGCTCCCCACAGGGGGGGGGGGGAGGGGAATTACCCACACCCTCCTCCTGCAGCAGCAACAGGGTGATGTCGAGGCGAGTTGATTTAACTAGTTAAACCGTTGAAATCTCCAGAATTCGGCGATTCGTTTCAGTACAAATCTTTACATTGCTTTTAAACCGAAGTTCCACATTACTGATGCCCTCTTTAAGGTCTCTCCGAATATTTGCCGTGCACACACACAGAGGAAACCAAAAATATTGCATCTATCTGTTCCACAGGTAATTTTATACCGTCAATCACAGAGTCTGGCGAGGCAATGTCAAAATATAGATTTGAAATTACACTCACCAGCTCGACGATTTGTTGGTAACCGTTCGCGACGCCAATTGTGAAGTTAAAACTTCTTTGCAGCAATGTTGAGCCAATCATGAAATGAGTGAAACTGGATTCGCCTGTCAATACACTGATATTTATTGAGAGCCTCAGCGGCCGGAGAGTTCACAGCATATCACAGTTCTCCTGTAAGATACCAGCAAACTCTGAACTCTAAAAGCGCCAAACACCCAACTATACAGACAAGAAGAGGAGGGCCCTAAAACACGCGGGTTTTCCTTTAATGCATGCCAGATGTCGAGACAAAGACTCGTTGCATTGTAAACCCACATGGGCCAAGCTTCTCCCCCACAAGACATCAGATGACCTCTTGACCTGTGTCTTCCTGAGAAGCTATGGATCACATTACAGGCAGGAATACACTTCAACCATATGAACAGATTCCCGAGGACAAATCACTAAACTCTATATACTTTAACAAGACCAAAATATTCCTTTACAGTATATATATACTTAGTTTCTCCTTTAACAGGTATGCCTTGTATAATGATAAACGATGTCTTTATTGCTTTAGGTCAGCGGTTCCCAGCCTGTGGGCTGCGGTCCCCTAGTGGTCTGCAAAGGCATTGCGCGTGGGCCGCCAAATAATCTTTTATTTATTTTTATTTTGTACAGGCCAAAGACACAAACGTGGACAAAACAATAACATATAGGAGATGACATTCCCATCTCAGATAAAAACAAAAAACAGAAGAAATAAAGGAAATTATTTTTAATCTACTCTTCAAACTCCTTAAATTAAGATTACTCCTTGATTGACTTTTAAAAATATGTATTTTAGCCAGAAGAATAGTTGTATTTATTAACTGTGTGCAGTCTTCATTTAAAAGCCCAAATCAAATATTAAAGGGGGTAAATGTAAATTCAATATTTGCAAAATATTATTTGTGTGGAAACATTTTCATTATTAAGATTTATTTGTATTTTAATCTCTTTTCCTTTCTCTTTCTTGATCCTCCTTAGCAACGGTCATTACATTCCTTGACAGCGGTCTGTTCTACTAGATTTACACAGTCTGTCCTCCTCCAAACAACGACCAAATAGGTTGATTGCTCAAGCGCTTATTACGACTTATAATCACCTTTTAAAGTTTTCGACCTCTAGTGCTCCCGTTGACTGCAAACGCTCGTATATTCACAAATAAGCCTCTCTGGAAAATCCAAAATTGTAGGATAGTTTGGCCATTAAAATGCTTTTTGATTAGATTTCTAGTGAGAAGTGTATATTGTACTTTTAAAATCGACGTCCAGTGGATGTGTAGGATCTATAGTTTAATAGATATTACGAAGATTATTTGAGGTCTCGTCAGGAGAACGTTAATATACTACGTGTTTCCCCCTATTCATTTCTATTGACGGCAGCGTCCATGTAAAGTTAGCCTCAACCCTCACGGGGTGAAAACAGTACTTCTCAGGGGATGTGTTTCTATTTACATACCAAATCTAACTATGTTGTAAAAAAAAAATACTCTGTGTTATAGTTACAGCTGCTGTTTCTGCCAAATCGGTAACCTGTTTGGGATGGTCTGCAGCTGTGTGTGATTATGTAAATGAGCTGTGTGGTTGCCCCAACATCATTGGCTGTCATCTCCTGGTCCACTTCCGAGGACACTGATTGGAGCACGCCGGGCCTGACGTTCTCCAATCCCTGTGCAAACCCAGCGCACACCTGCTGGAGAGGACTACAAAGCTGGGGACAATCATCACTCTGGAGGCTCTGTATTATGGGACAGACGCCTCAAGCCTCTCGCTATATTACCGTCATACTTTGTGGTTCGTTAGACTGCCTAGCAGTGTGTTAGTAGGGTTCTGTGTTAGCTACACGGACTAGCCGTGTGTTATAGTATTCTGTGGTTAGCATTCCTGTGTATCTTGCTTAGATCCGGGTGATTAGCACCACAGCCCCGTTTTGTTTATTGTTTTGTTTCCACTTTAGAAGTGAGGTATTTTCTTTCCTTTTGTATAGTACTCTTTTGGAGACCCTTTTGTTAAATCGTAACAGCTTGACCCGTTGTTGGGCCAAGTTGTTCGTGTACATCATTTTTGCTCAGTTGTAGTTACGAATAAAACACCTGTAACATATACCAATTCTACTCTGGTCGTGTCGTTTCCCTTTTGTTCCTCTAGCCAATTGGGAACGTAACAGTTATAATATATGATGTTATCATTATTTTTAAATAAATAATGCATTATTTAGTCTTTAATGGGGTTGATTAACTGTTCTGTTTGTTGTGAGCCAGTATTTGTTGGAATTGGAAATGTATAATGAATATTAAAATGGAAATATGAAAAAGGTGCTACGATTTTAAATTTAAAAGCTACTTAAATAACGGATGTGGTTCTCTATTGAATGATTTACACGTCTAATTGTCCTTTAAAGTTGTTTCCTCATACAGTAATTGTGTTTAAAGCACTCTGTGTTTTCTTGTAGGTTTGATCAAATAAATACCATGTTGGCACACATATAAAATAACCTTCGGAAAGGGGGAATCCTCTTTTTGCAGCTTACTTATTTAAATGTACAGTATGATTTAAAGATGACATTGTAGTGTTCTTAAATAAGGCTTTTGCACAATCTGATATTTAATTTAGAGGCATTAGAGAATGGTTTACGCTCTCCGTCAACTTGAAAACCTGCACACTTTAGCATGTGTTTACTGCATGGAGAGAACTCATTTGCACATTTTTGAAAACCTCTTTTTACAACTGGGGATAAAATACAGATGAATTCTGATAACATTGGGTGTGTTTACTCATTGAAGTGCGCACAATAAGAGTTTTGAATGTTTACCGAACATATATTTAAACATAAAGCAGGAATCATTTACAGGGGTGACTGTGGCTCATCTTTCAAACCAGAAGGTTGTGGGTTCGATCCCAGCCCGTGCAGTCAACATGTGGAAGTGTCCTTGGGCAAGATACTGAACCCTGAGTTGCTTCCGATGGCCGTGTGTGTGTGTGTGTGTGTGTGTGTGTGTGTGTGTGTGTGTGTGTGGCCTAGCATTACTATACTTGTGGGGACCTAAATCTGTTTATACAGTCACGTGTGGGGACTCGCCTCCCTTATGGGGACAAATTGGATGTCCCCATAAGGGGGATCATTAATTTTAGGGTGAAGACTTGTTTAGGATTAGGGTAAGGGTAAGGGTTAAGGGTTAGATTAAGGGTTAGGGTTAGGCATGTGTTGGTTAAGGTTAAGATAAGTCTCCAGGAAATGCATGTAAGTCAATGTAATGTCCCCTGAAGTGATGTATACATGGTGTGTGTGTGTGTGTGTGTGTGTGTGTGTGTGTGTGTGTTAGCTTCCCTAGAGCAAGTGGTACTGCTATACATGAATGAGACATGAATGGGGTCGAAAAGACCAGATAAAATGATATATAAGAACACGCCATTTACATGAAATTGTTAAAAGGCGATATCTATCATTGGTATTGACTTTACTAATCTTAGATATATTATTTTGGTTAAGCATAGGTTGATCATTTCATTTTCAGGTATGTATCTCAAGTTGCTTCCCTGTTCTGCCACAAGAGGTCTCAAAATGACATTGTTAAAATAAAGCAGCTTCCTATGACACAATAACATAAAAGCATAAGCTTCTGTATTGGGAAAAGCTGAACTCATAAAGATGGGATTAATAAATGCTGGATGGGATTCATAGGAAAGAACAGTGTAGCACGCAGAGACATGTGTTTTTGTTTAATGAATTACTTCTGACTTGTTAACTTGTTCTGTGTAAAATGTCTGCGTGTGGTGTGAATCATATGCGGGATCCAGACTGCTCTCCTCCCAGTTATTGCTCAAGACATTTGGACACACGCTGGCTTTCAAAAGATCCTTAAAGGAAATTGCAACATGTGCTGAGGGCTCCAGAAAAAAAGGAAGTCGAAGCTGGAGAGGACACATCTGAGCTAAGATTTGTCTTCTCTTTTTAAAGATGTTTTGACAGGATTTCATGTGACCTGAGAAGGCTGTCTGCCTTTAAGGAAGGACTTCAACAACATCAGGCGGGTGAGTTCTCTGTCTCTAAACTCCATTAACACAGAGGGTGGATTATTGTGGGTGATCAAAAATCCCTGAAATTGGCATTTCTGTCCGTGACGTAGCTACAGGACTGCCTACTTCACATCTGAAGAGATCAATACTTCAGTGAAGGTCAACAACACTGGACTTTGTTTGGACAAACAAGAACCAGAACTGCTTTAGCACACTTTGCTCACCTTTTTCCCACAATTGCACAATTTGCTCCAAGTCATCTGTAGAAAAGTCCACCTTATTGCAGAGCTCTCGCCAAATCCTAAAACAAGTTCAATAGATGTTCTTCTCCATTAAACATTTGCAACGCCACTTTTTTCCAATTGATATGCTTTATACCAGTGGTTCTCAAATGGGGGTACGCGGACCCCTAGGGGTACGTTGGAGTACTGCAGGTGGTACGTGAGATTTATTTTATGTTAATGAAAAAAAAATATTTTAAAAAATAGATAAATATACCAATTTTAGGAAAAGTAACGAAGTTTGAGCAGTGTGGGTTTTATATGAACAGAGTTACACATATTTCAAAACGTGAAGTGTAATAACTGCAGTTTGCCTCCCTGTCAGAATGACAAAGGTCCTCATTGCAACACAAGCCCATGTTTCACTACATTGTAAGTACAACTTATTAAAAAGATCAGTTCAATGCAACTAATGTCGTCTTAGTGTTATTGCATGATGTTAAAATGGGTTTGCCATGAAATTAGTGATGGATTGTAAACATTTGAAATGTAGCATTTAAGTGTTTCTCAGTTACAATGTTGATACACTGATATAGTCATATAGTCATTTCTTCCCTAACAAATAGTTTTGCGCTGATCAGGGGGTACTTGGCTGAATCTTTTTTTCAAAGGGGGTACATTATTGAAAAAAGTTTGAGAATCACTGCTTTATACAGTACGTCTTTCCTGCTATTTCTTGACACAACATTGTGTTTTTTGGAGATGTACCAACAACTGTCTGTTGAGTCAGAGGGTAAATACAAAAATAACATTGTTGTTTCTTACATTTTCAAGTAGAAGCCTTTAAATACAAGAACAAACCTCTAAATGAGCATATGTCCCCCTTTAACCCAGGTTTTGGAGCAGGGTTAGGCACATCTAATCTAAAGTAATTGCTCAGAGAAGATATCTAGTGTGTTTTCATGTCTGTCATTAGTTTCCCTGGTGTGTCTAATTTCCTGATTGTTTTCACCTGTCACTCCTTGTGTGTCTCCTGTGCTCATCAGTGTCAGCCCCGCCCCTGATTGTTCCCACCTGTGTCTAGTTACCCTGTGTTTAAATTCCCCTGTCTCCCAGTGTTTAGTGTCAGTTCGTCTTGTCTCTTGCCATGGTCAGGTCTATGCTCTTTTGTGCTGAAGAATAGTTTTGTTCCTCACTACGTGAGCGATTTTCCTTTTGGTCTCATTTTTTGTCATCTCATCCTGAGATTAGTTAGTGACCTTTTTTTGTTCATCGTGTTTTTTTGGAAAAATAAAGTATCTTACCAATACTTTACCTCTGTCTCCCTGTCTGCAATTGGGTCCAACATCCTAAGTGGCTGAGATTGTAACAGAACGAACTGACCAGAATATGGACCCAGCGGATATGGAAGATTTTGAGTTAGATCTGTTCGATCTAGACTTTTCCCTTTAATGTTCTCATGCCGAGTGGAAAGGAACTTCTTCTAGAAAGGACAAAGAGGCTATTCTCGAGAGGGCACGAATGGAGGTGGCCGAAATGCCTTGGTTGAGGAGTTTGTTGCCGGAGTGGTTACAGCTTTTCACAAGTTGTCCTGAGGACTGGTCCGACGCATCTAACCCTTTCCTCGGATCCGACTATGGTCCTGTTGGAGGTCCACGGAGTCTCCAAAGAGCCTCTAGGAGACGCAGGGCCAGGATTCCAGCCCGTGCTCCAACAGCCATGATCCCAGTGTGGGATTCCCGGTCTGCTAGCCCCAGGCATGCTAGCTCCCTGTCTCCCAATTCCCAACCTGGCACCATATGCCTCGCTGGGATCCGTCTGAAGTCAACCCATGCTTCTGCCCCAGCTCCTGCTCCTGTCCAGGAGTCATATGCTGGAACTCGTCTCGCTTATGGAGGTCCACGGAGCCTTCAGGCGGCTGCTAAGAGAAGGAGTCGCAAAGCCAAGCTAGCAGCCATGCCTCCATGCGCCAGTACCGGCCCACGCAGCTTTGCGTCCATACTCCATTACCTGGCTTACACAGCCAGGGTCCAGGCTTCTGCTCCGCCCCCAACAGCCATGGTTCCGGCTCCAGTGCCGGACCCAGCAGCCATGGTTCCGTGCTCCAGTACCATCCCACATAGCCATGGTACCGTGCTCCAGTACCATCCCACACAGCCATGGATCCGTGTTCCGGTTCCTTGCCCAGCAGCCATGGTTCCGGCTCAAGTACCGACCCCAGCAGTCATGGTCCCGACTCCAGCTCCTCGTCACCTGTTGACTCATCGGCCGACGCCAGCTCCCCGAGTCCTGTCGGCATACCGGCCGACTCCAGCACCTCGTCTCCTGCTGGCTCTCCAGCCGACGCCAGCTCCCTGAGTCCTGTCGGCATACCGGCCGACTCCAGCACCTCGTCTCTTGTTGGCTCTCCAGCCAACGCCAGCTCCCCGTGTCCTGTCGGCGTACCGACCGACTCAAGTCCCCTCTCAAGTTCCTACCCGAGTCCCCTCTCAAGTTTCCTCTCAAGTCCCCTCTCGAATCCCCTCTCGAGGCCCCTCTCGAGTTCCCTCTCGAGTTCCCTCTCGGGTCCCCTCTCGAGTTCCCTCTCGGGTCCCCTCTCGAGTTCCCTCTCGGGTCCCCTCTCGAGTTCCCTCTCGGGTCCCCTCTCGAGTTCCCTCTCGGGTCCCCTCTCGAGTTCCCTCTCGGGTCCCCTCTCGAGTTCCCTCTCGAGTCCCCTCTCGAGTTCCCTCGCGGGTCCCCTCTCGAGTTCCCTCTCAAGTCTCCTCTCGAGTTCCCACTCAAGTCCCTACTCAAGTGTCGTTGGAGGTTCCGCTGGGGGTCCTGCCAACCCTATGTCCTGTGCCGTTGGAGGCCCCGCCGACTACTCTTCTGCCGGGGGTCCTGCCAGCCCTGTGTCCTGTGCCGTTGGAGGTCCCGCCGACTACTCTTCTGCCGGGGGTCCTGCCAGCCCTGTGTCCTGTGCCGTTGGAGGTCCCGCCGACTACTCTTCTGCCGGGGGTCCTGCCAGCCCTGTGTCCTGTGCCGTTGGAGGTCCCGCCGACTACTCTTCTGCCGGGGGTCCTGCCAGCCCTGTGTCCTGTGCCGTTGGAGGTCCCGCCGACTACTCTTCTGCCGGGGGTCCTGCCAGCCCTGTGTCCTGTGCCGTTGGGGGTCCCGCCGACTACTCTTCTACCGGGGGCCCTGCCAACCCAATCCCATGTCCTGTTTTGTTGGAGGCCTCGACATCACCTGTCTCGCCGGGGTCCTGCCAACTCCTTGTCGTCTTTCGTGGGGGATCTTGCCGACACCTGTCCCACCGGCTCCGGTTCCTGTCCGGTCAACACCGGCTCCTGCCCGGTCCCCTGAGAGCTGTGGTCTTCGCCCCTCCTCGAACTCTGCCTTGCCCCCGGGCCGTCCGCCCGAGACCCCCTTTTTGAACTCTGCCTTGCCCCCGGGCCGTCCGCCCGAGACCCCCTCCTCAAACTCTGCCTTGCCCCCGGGCCTACGTGAGCGATTTTCCTTTTGGTCTCATTTTTGTCATCTCATCCTGAGATTAGTTAGTGACCTTTTTTTGTTCATCGTGTTTTTTTGGAAAAATAAAGTATCTTACCAATACTTTACCTCTGTCTCCAATTGGGTCCAACATCCTAAGTGCCTGAGATCGTAACAACCTGAACCTGAATGTGAGTCCAGGTACGCAGCACTATACACAGTATATATGGCGCATAAGTGATATTGCACAACAGAGGTGGTATACTTTATTGTTAAATGTGCGGTGATCTACCATGGTTGTAAAGTAGATATTGTTATAAAGGTTTCTCAATAAAGCTGTTTTATTTTTGAGGTAAGTTATTGTAGTCAGGGGAAGGTTGTGTTGCAAAAAGCAAAGGGAGGTATGCAGAGATTTGACAGAAGCAATGAAAACATTGTGTGTGATCTGGAGATGGGACAGAGTTGAGTCAGAGCCGTCTGAGCACGAGGGGCACGGGTGAGGTTTCCTCTGAGCGCTGCTGTGTAAACGATTCACTCCTTCCTGCGTCTGTCACTTTCTGTGAGGTGAGTCAATATAATCTGCTCAATTTTGCTAATCAAGTGTTTAATTTATAATTTGACTCTTGGCACCGAAAGCATGTAGAACAGATCAGATTCAGATGGCTTTGAGCAACACACTGTAAGCATTGCATGTTTAAGAGAAGTGTGTGTAATGCCAACCACAGTGTAAACACACTTCCTTCAACATTATGTTAGAGGCACCTGCTGTATGCAAGCCATTCATAGAGAGTGATATACCTAACCTCAGAGGTGGGAGAAGTACTCAGATCTTGTACTTGAGTAAAAGCACCAGAGTGTAGGAATACTCTGTTACAGTAAAAGTCCTGCATTCAAAATGTTACTGAAGTAAAAGTATTAGCATCAAAATATAGAGAAAGTAGCAACAGTAAAAGTATTCATTGTGCAGATTGGTCCATTTCAGAATAATATATATGATATGTTTTATAATGATTGATCATGAAAGTGTTCTCAAAGCTGGTGAAGGTGCAGCTAGTTTGAATGACTTTGTGTACTGCAGGGTAGCTGGTGGATTTACTCCAGGTGGAACTAAAGTCTGATTTAACACTTGATTATATTTACCATCATTCATCCAAGTGGAGTAAAAGTACACCCTTTACCTCTGAATTGTAGTGGAGTAGAAGTACACAATAGCAAAATGGACAAAATCAAGTAAAGTACAAGTATCTCAAAATTGTACTTGAGTACTTAGTTAATCTACACCACTGTCTAATCTCATATTAGTGGTATGGCACTTTGAGTTAT